CTTTTTTTTTTAGGAAACTCATTTTTTAAATGTTTATTTCATAGTTCATAAAAAAAAGTTTATATGTACAAGACTCAAATAGCAAAGCAGCTATTTAATCACAAATGGACAAGACAGTAGTCATTCAGACTACTGCGGAAGCATATTTAATGCATGCCCTTCAATGTTAGGCATGAATAATTCAAACTATCGGTCCAAATTCTGGATTTTAGATCTGTATCTATAGGACACTTGTAGTCAAATTTTAAGATTGGTAAAGTCAGCTTTCTTTATAGTCCAACTCTCACACCCATACATGACTACTGGAAAAACCATAGCCTTGACTAGACGGACCTTTGGTGGCAAAGTAATGTCTCTGCTTTTTAATATGCTGTCTAGGTTGGTCATAACTTTCCTTCCAAGGAGTAAGCATCTTTTAATTTCATGGCTGCAATCACCATCTGCAGTGATTTTGGGGCCCAGAAAAATAAAGTCAGCCACAGTTTCCACTGTTTCCCCATCTATTTGCCATGAAGTGATGGGACTGGATGTCATGATGTTAGTTTTCTGAATGTGGAGCTTTAAGCCAACTGTTTCACTCTCCTCTTTCACTTTCATCAAGAGGCTCTTTAGTTCTTCTTCACTTTCTGCCATAAGGGTGGTGTCATCTGCATATCTGAAGTTATTGCTATTTCTCCCAGCAATCTTGATTCCAGCTTATACTTCATCCAGCCCAGCGTTTCTCATAATGTACTCTGCATATAAGTTAAATAAGCAGGGTGACAATATATAGCCTTGATGTACTCCTTTTCCTATTTGGAATCAGTCTATTCTTTGAGTATTATGATCTATATTTACTTATTTAAAACATGCCTATAATATTAAGAGAAAAGGACAAATTATAAACTATATGTATAATATGACCCAATTTTTATAAAAATAATAATGTTTATACATGTAAAACTGACAAAATTTTAATATTAGATGTTTCTGCATAGTAGAATTATATGAATTCTCATATTATTCTTTAATTTATTAGTTTGATATTACAAACTCCTTCTTTGTGTTTAGTTAATAGTCAAAACAAACCAATTTTTGCTTTTTCCACCATAGTGGAAAAAAACAGACAATAAAAAAGCATGTGCAACATATGTCCTGTTAAAAGGTAATAAATGCTATGAACAAAAGTGATGCAGGAAAGATGGGCAGGGACTGTTCTGGGAATGGGTGCTCAGGGAAGGTGTCAAACAAAAGGTGGCCTTTGAGGACAGGTCAAATATGAGGAAATTATATAGTAAGGCTTGGCAATATCTTGGAAAAGTAGATTCCAGAGAGAGGAACCATCAAGTCGAAGTTACTGGGGTGGGATTGGGAAGGGTGGGCTGAGATAGCCCAGGATCAGGAGGACAGGAGAACTGAACAGAAGGATTAGATGGGATTCATTAGAATAAGAAATCAGAGCATAAAAAGGAATGGGAGTTGGGGCTTATGGATAGGGTCATATGGGCATTTCTAGATCACGAGGAAAGACTTAACTCTTTAACAGCAAAGTCATCGCGGGTTCTGAGAAGACAGAGATGAGGTGACTGTATTTTAAACCAGATCATTCTGGATGTTCTGCTGACAATAGAATAAACTGGGACAAAAACAGGAGACCAATGAAGAGGTTACAGCTATAATATAGGCAAGAGATGATGGTGGTTTGGGCGTAGGTGGTAGAATTTGAGGGAGAGATGATGTCATCTGGCAGTTTCATGATGACAGCACTAATCCAGGCTTGTTAATAGATTTGATGTGGAATATGAGAGAAAATACTTCTAAAATATTACAAATCTTAGATTTGGGGCCAGAGACTGGAGAAATGGAATTACAGTGAATTCCATTGGGTTTTGGGGTGGAGAGAGAGGTGCAGTGAACAGCAAGAGTCAGTCTGGGATGTCATGCATGAGGTGAAACAGGACTTGAAAGCAGAGATGTGGCAAGGGCGTAGGCTGCTGGGGAGAGGAGCCTAGCATTCATGAGTATGAAGATTATGGATAGATAGATGGGATTTAAAGACAGGGAAGCTGGGTAGCTAAGGAGAAGTTCTCAAAGAAGAATGAAGAAACAGCTGGTGATGTTTGGGGGAGACAATAAAAATGGAGGGCTTGGGAAGGCAGTGATCCACTGTGTCAGATGCTATTCAGAGGTCAAACATGATGAGACCTGACTAACAATCATTGCTATCACTGGTGATCATGAAAAAAGTTATTTTATTGGCATGACTGGGAGAGTTGAAAAGGAAAAACATTGGAACAATGAACAAGCCAGCCTGAGAAGATTAAAACTACATAGTGTATGGTTCCAACTGTGTGGCATTCTGTACACAGCAAAACTATAGAGATTGTAAAAAGGTCGGTGGTTGTCAGGGGCTTGAGGGGAGAAGGAAGAGAGGCAGCAGTGAATAGGGGGAACACAGGGGATTTTTAGGGCAGCAAAACTACTCTGTATGATACCATAAATGATGAATATAGGAAATGTATTTGTCAGCATTCATAGAACTGCAGAGAAAATGTGAACTCTAACATAAACTTTGGATTTTATTTTAAAATAACATATCAGTATTGGTTCATCAGTTGTTGCAGATGTACCACACTAATGCAAGATATTAATAAGAAAAAGTATGTATATATTGTGGGGGACAGGTGATATATAGAAACTGTATTTTCTGCTCAACTTTCCTATAAACATAAAGCTGCTCTTTAAAAGCTTATAAATATTTCTAAACTACTCTCGAACTTGGCTCTAAAGGGGAAGAAAAAATGAGATAAGGTGTGGAAGGAGAAAGCTGACAAAAAGATGTTATTGAAGATGAAAGAAATATAGTTATATGCCAAGGGGATGCAATAGGAAGGAAAAAGTTAGTGGTTCAGAAGAGAGAAAGGAGTAATGGTCCTTTGTAGGAAAGAGGGAATGGAGTCTGACGCACAGCTGGAGGAATCAGCTTTTGTAGGAAAAGCATCAGGTCACTCAGTCTCAGGAGAGATGCAGGTACGTGAGTAGATATAAAGGTAGCTGTGCTGTATTGTGTTGAATCGCTCAGTGGTGTCTGATTCTTTGACTCCAAGGACCATAGCCCACCAGGCTCCTCTGTCCATGGGGATTCCCCAGGGAAGAATACTGGAGTGGATTGCCATACCCTCCTCCAGCGGATCTTCCCAATCCAGGGATCGAATCCAGGTATCCTGCATTGCGGGCAGATTCTTTACCAGCTGAGCCACAAGGGAAGCCCAAGAATACTGGAGGGGGTTGCCATGCCCTCCTCCAGCAGATCTTCCAAACCCAAGGGTCAAACCCAGTTCTCCTGCATTTCAGGCTGATTCTTTACCAGCTGAGCCACAAGGGAAGTCCAAGAAGACTGGAGTGATTGGCCTGTCCTTTCTCCAGCAGATCTGCCCAACCCAGGAATCGAACTGGGATCTCCTGCATTGCAGGTGGATTCTTTGCCAACTGAGCTATCAGGGAAGCCCTGATAGAGAGTAGGATTGAGAAGGAGATATTTCAGAAAAGAAAATGCTCTTTTCCATAATACACATATTTTACCATGCGTGTGATTTATATTTTTTAAAATCATATTTATATTTATATTAAATCATAAACATTGAATTTTGATTATTTTTAAATAAAATATAAAAAATTAATCCCATGCATTTTGGTTCCAGGTTTGTTTTGGGTGCTACCCATTCAGTTGATTAAGTCATTGGCAGAGAGGCAGTACCAGGAGAGGTTTCTGTTATCGGGGGGAAATCTGATAAGCACGCCGTGGTTGTGGATCATCCTCTTGACTCTGGTCCTAGGCTAACATGGTGGTATTTTTCAGACAACAGATGACAAAGGCTGTAGCAAGAACAGCTCTCTTTATAGTCTAGGTTTCCTGTGCTGTTCTGGGAGTCATCTCTGGATATCCAGCCTATAATCTGTTCTTCCAAGCTTTGAAACTGTTTCATAAGCATGTAATTCTCTATATTAAATCATTTTAAAGTACTTAGAATACAATAGATTCCTGATTGATACACCAAAGAACTATCAGGGTCACACTCAGTGAGATGTCAATTATGGATGAGATCAATAAACAGTTAGGAGCCATAAATGTCTGATAGGACTAATAATGAAGTCATGGCAAAAAAGACAGTGAAATGGTTCCATGACTTTTTTCCTATGAAAATGACCTGCTTTATTTGCCTTCCTCTATGTGATTATTAAAGAAAAATTTACAGTTTAAATCCTTTTGCAGATGTAAGCATAATATTTCCCTTTTAATAATATGTTCAACTCTTTGATATCTTCAGAATCTTGAGTTTACAGCCCTGTATCACTTTTGAACCATACTAGAGAAATTGCTCTGTTGTTTAGAATGGATTCTTATTATAATTGCTTTTAAATGAAGCTCTTTATATTCACTTCTTAGACCCTGTCTCTGTGCTGGACATTGTCAGTATCTCCAACATGAGTGCTAACCATTTATACAGTCACTTATTATATCCCAGTCAATTTGACATTTGCTGTGATCATCAAGTATACAAAGTTTATTACTATCTTCAGATTTTTTCCATACCTGTTCCATCTGCCTGGAAGACTCTGCCTGCCCGTGTTTGCACAGTTGGCATATTCAGTTTATCCAGGTATCAGCCAAAACATCACCATCTTTAAAGGACCTACTTCAAGACTAAAAGTAAATTCATTACCTCCGTCTCACACTTGCTATCGAATATTTTGCTTTTGTTTTTAGTACCTTCAGGGATATACATCTTCTTGAAACTATACTGTTTATTTTCTGCATTATTGGCTGTCTTATTCCTACTAGATAGTAACTTCAGAGAACAGTGACTTTACCTGCTTCAGTAGTAGCTCTTTCTCCCAGGGCCTAGTCCAGTCTCGATAAATGGGAGGTGATCAATAAATGTAGTGTTTGGAAAATGAATACCTTAATTTCACATGAAATTCTCCAGTCTTTATTTTCATATGCATTTTCCCACTTTTTATCAGGCTAAGTGCTGACTAAACAGCCTTTTCACAGATGCTTTTACTTCCTGGTTGCGAAGAGTATAAATCACAGGGTTCAACAGAGGAAAGATCACTGTGTGGAAGAGAGAAATCACCTTGTCAGCTGGGAAGGCTCTGAAGGGGCGGGTATAGATAAAGATGCCAGGCCCGAACATGAGAAATATAACAATGATGTGGGTGGTGCATGTGGACACGGCCTTGCTCTTCCCCTCAGAGGAGGAACCATGCACCCGGCAGAGGATGACTGCATAGGAGGCCAGAAGCCCCAGAAAGCACAGCAGGGTGAGCAGGCCACTGTTGGAGACCATCAGGAGCTCCACCACGAAGGTGTCAGTGCAGGCCAGCTTGATGACCTGCGGCACGTCGCAGAAGAAGTTGTCCAGTCGGTTTGGACCACAGAAGGGCAAGCGGAGGATCAGGGCCACTTGGATAATGGAATGAACAAAGCCTCCAAACCACAGAACCAACAGCAAGGCGTAGCAGGTTCTAGGGTTCATGACAATTGAATAGTGTAAAGGACGACAGATGGCGATGTAGCGGTCAAAGGCCATCACGACAAGGAGTAAGCCCTCCCCTCCTCCAAGGAAGTGCAAGAAAAAGAGCTGAGTGATGCAGCCTCTATAGGAGATCACCTTCTTCTCAGAGAGGAAGTCCACCAGCATCCTGGGAGCCACAATGAAGGAGTAGGATGCATCCAGGAAGGCCAGGTTGCCCAGGAAGAAGTAGAGGGGGGCCGTGAGGCCAGGGTCTGACTTGATGGTGAGGATGATGAGGAAATTTCCAGGGAGGATGATGAGGTAGAAAATTAAGACTAGCGCAAACACCAGGAGCTGAATATTTTGAGACTGGGTCAGACCAGCAAGGATGAATTCTTTCACCACAGTACTGTTATTCTCCATCCTATCTGCCTGCAGTACATAAAGAAGCAGAGTTTATTGTTGTAATTTCTCATATCTAGACCCACGTTGTGGTCTACCTATAAATATCTGACATAGTCACCACTTCAGTTATAAACAATGTTTCAACCCTTTCCAATATCCTGAGAAAGCTGAACATTTCTCTCCTCTAGATTTAAAACAAACAAATCACCTTTCTCAAAGCTACAGTCTTATTCCCATTCAGCCATGTGCTTCTACAGCACTGCGGTCCACTCTCAGAGTCTAGTGTCCTATACCTTCTTGGGATTCTTGCCTTCTTGAGTCATAGGAAAAATTTCCTGATTGAGATACAACATAACTCCAAATATCAAGATCTTTGTATTTTGGTGGTTGTACTGTGCTTGAGACTTAGCAGCTTGCTTGGAATTACACACGTTTCTCTTCATCCCCCAACACAAACTTTTGTGGAAGTCCCATTTTCTGCCTGCTACCTCTCTGCCTTGCTCTCTGTTTTCTCATCATCCTCCTCTGACCTGGTGTCCTTGTATTGCTCTGACTCCAAGCTGGTCACCAGTTTCCAACAATAACTGTACTTTTCCCATAATTCAAAGGTAGGTTCCAGCTGTATCCCTGGTGAAGCACTGCTTATGTAGCCACTCCCTCCTTGAACTACACAACTTCATTACACTCTTTGAATCTCAATTCCTTATTGTTGTTGTTCTTAGCAAAGCCATGTCTCTTTTGCAACCCTATGGATTGTAGCCTGCCATTTCCTTCTCCAGGGGATCTTCCCAACCTAGGAATCAAACACACATCTCCTTCTTGGCAGGCAGATTCTCTACTACTATGCCACCTGGGAAGCTCCCAATTCTTCACTACATTCTCCCAATCTCCTTCTTTCTCTGATACCAGCATGATGCCCAAGGGAGAGCCTGTCAACAAACAACAGGTCACAATACAAGTTTTCCAGGATACATGTTTTAAATTAGTTGTGTTAACACATAAAATCATAGCATACAGGAGAGGTAAAGAGCAATAAGATCCTATAGTCTCATCCATTCCTTTTCAAGACAAGAGAACTAAAGCTACTATTGTAGCAGCACTTAAGTTTAGAATGAGTTTTCTTTATTCTTACTATTAGTAGAAGAATGTGAGTAGGCACCATTCAGTTGAAATATATAAAGAAATCATTAGCACAGATTTAATCAATAAATATTCTTTTTGGTATGCTTGAATAACTAAAAATAAGCTTAGAAGCTTAACACTGTATAATTAAAAGAACACTAGTCATTGCAGGAGAGGGGAATACAAGTTTAATGCTGTCTGTTTAGTGGTGTAGGCTCATTCCAGAATGGTCAATGTGATGATCCAATGAAGAGTGATAATAAAATAGTATAAATATGTATTACATTTATATAATTATGCATATATATGCACATATCACTGACTTTTTATCTTTTCAAAATCATGCATTTAATATGTATAATATATTAATATAAGGGTATATAAACTTTATAAATATATACATATATATTTAAGGCACATGCTCCAAAAATATTTTGTTGTTGATATGAAATGTTTTTAAATATGAAAATTGCTAATCTACAGAAAAATACAGTGTAGCATATATTAATATTCTGCATAATGTTTAGCAAGCACAGTTGTCCTAAGTTCTGTGAAACATTGGATATAAAGAGGAGGAGAAAAACCTTGAAAGACAAAGCTAGTGTCTCAGTACTTAGAAAAGAAAGATAGATGTGAGTAAAAAAAGAAAAAAAAATAGAAAAGTGAAAAAAACAGTAAGTCTATACAGTGCATTTTACATATTTTAGGAACATTAGAAATATCTGTTTTAAGTCTCTCTAGAGATGAATACAATGGATAATATACAGGTGTTATAACTACAGATGGAATTTATTAAAGTCTTATTTTAAAATATCAGAGTATATATGTATACAAACACAACATACACTTACACACACCCACATTCATACATGCACACACAGAGGCAAAATGGGACCCACGTAGAATTATAATACAAAATATTTGGCAGACTCTCAAAATTGTAATAAAAATACTTAGTAACTTCTGAGCTTGCTTCTTAACTTTTCTCCACCTTAGACAAACATTTATCTCAACATTCATTCCCTCATCTGCCTATAAAAATACACCCAGGAAACCCAGGGATATAAGTGAAGAGTCCCTTCTATTTACTCTTAGGTTTTGTGTATCCCACAAATTCACTCAGAATTGGTCATTTTATGATGTGTCTGTGTTTGATGATATCTTTAAGACATCAGAGGATTTCTGAAAGTTTTTTTGATTGAGGGTTATAGGCTCTTCCATTCTGCCTATTTCTTATCATTCATCTTCCCTTTTTCACTCTTTTTCACCCATCCCAGCAGACAAGATTCTACAGTATCTGACATATTTCATCCATTTTCTTTCCTTGTCCTCTTTTCATCTATATATTTTCTGGATCTATTATTCTGAAATTGCAGCTGGCATAGAACCAGAGACTATATATAAGATGAACATTTTTCTAGGTAAGATAAAATACAATTGTGAAAAAGATTCTACAAAATGTGACCCTTTTCAGAATCAAATAGTCTATGTTAGCCAGACTAGTGGGGAAAGTGTTGTCGTAAGAGGCTGAAAGAAATCTAAATTCTCACCACTATATCCCTAATCTTCCTTGGCACTTCAGCTAATTAAGAGATGTGACTGACTCTGGCAGTGATGATACAGCAGAGGAATAGGAAGGCCAAGGGGAGGGACAGCCTCCCTCATTCTTAGGGCAGAGACGCAAACATCATCAGGCAAAGCTGTGCCTGCCTGGAGGGCAAACTGTGGTCAGACCAGCTCCTGGACACAGGAGTATAGAGACCCAAGGACCTTACTTCCCCATTTCTTTGAAACATTTCTCCATGTTTTCTTCTTTACTGTATCTCTTTTCTCTTTCTCTCGCCTTTCAAAAGGAAATCTCATTGCTGTCATTCCAGTGGAACGAATATATTTAATAAAGTGTCCAAAATTTTGAGTGCAATGTCTACAAGCATATTGGTTAAGGCTTATAAATTAAATGCAAATTAACTTTTTACATATTACAAAAATGTGAATTAGGTTAAAAACATCACCAAATACATAAATGATACTGATGCCGATGATGAATATAAAAAGCACTTAACTAATTAAAAGACGCTTACTCCTTGGAAGGAAAGTTATGCCCAAACTAGATAGCATATTAAAAAGCAGAGACATTACTTGCCAACAAAAGTCCGCCTAGTCAAGGCTATGGTTTTTCCAGTGGTCATGTATGGATGTGAGAGTTGGACTGTGAAGAAAGCTGAGCACCGAAAAATTAATGCTTTTGAACTGTGGTTTTGGAGGAGACTCTTGAGGGTCCCTTGGACTGCAAGGAGATCCAACCAGTCCATCCTAAAGGAGATCAGTCCTGGGTGTTCATTGGAAGGACTGATGTTGAAGCTGAAACTCCAATACTTTGGCCACCTCATGCGAAGAGTTGACTCGTTGGAAAATACCCTGATGCTGGGAGGGATTGGGGGCAGGAGGAGAAGGGGACAACAGAGGATGAGATGGCTGGATGGCATCACTGACTCAATGAACATGAGTTTGAGTAAACTCTGGGAGTTGGTGATGGACAGAGAGGCCTGGTGTGCTGCGATTCATGGGGTCACAGAGTCAGACACGACTGAGCGACTGAACTGAACTGAACTGACTGAAACTAACGTATGGATCTTCAGTCAGGAAATCCATTCATTAATAAAATAACTAAAGGACAGGGATGATATGAGGATCAAAACTGAGGTGATGATGGTAATAGTAACTCATTCAAGTAAGTTCAAATCAAAACCAGCCCTTCAAATATTTTATTAAAATAAATATAATTTTTTATATAAATGTGTCCAACGAAAGGACATATTGCACTAGAGCCTTTGTCAGTGTCTTTAGGATGAACCCTGGGTGATGGTAGTTACACAAATCCAAATGTCTCATTCAGCGAAACAATTAAAGGTTAAATAACTTTTGTGTAAAGTTCCCAATGCAGTCAGCTGTTTGTGTATCAAGATTTTCTCAGTTTCACAACTTCCTATCGAACCATCAAAGTCCTATGTTGATGAATAATAGAACGATAGGGAACAGTTGAAACTATTAAATATGTTGAGTATGAAAAATTAGAGATCTGGGCTAATGTTCTGCAAACTCATAAAATCTTTGAATTATTTCTCTGGAGCCTTAGCCTTTTCATCTCTCTATCTTTCATCTAAGTTTAAAAAGCAAAGAAAATATATCAGTGATTTGCATGCTCGTTGGGTTTTTTTTTCCTTTTTAAAGCATTTTATTTTATATATGCAAATAGCTGATTGACAATATTGTGATAGTCTCAGGTGAACATCAAAGCAACTCAGCCATAG